AAACTCTCGAGCTGATACGCCAAGCGTGGAGCCGCACGAGCTGCAGGCAATCACCGACTCACGTCCGAGCTTGCGAAGCTATGCAGAGAGGCGATAAAGGAAGATCTCAAGGAGCGAAGAGCAGCAGTATTAGCTGAAGCAGCAGAGGCTGGGAGGAGCATCCGCAATGCCCGCCGAAGCTTTGCCAGCTACAAGACCAAGATGACCTGCCTCCGACGTCCGGATGGAACAGTTACTGCATCCCGAAGGGCAATGGAGAAAGTCATCCACGACTTCTACTCGGATCTCTTCGATAGCCATGTCCATCTGCCTACTTATCCTGCAACAGGATGGATACGTCGTCCCCTCAGTTCTCTCTTCCGAAGTCCGACACGCCATCAAGTCGGTGAAGAATCGTACAGCACCCGGTCTCGACAGGGTTAAACCGGAACATCTGAAGAACGCACCGCCAGCCCAATCTGCCTGCTGTCTGTAATCTACAAGCTATTCACTCGAGTCATCCTTAACAGGATCGGCAGAATACTAGATGAAGGACAGCCATGCGAGCAAGCAGGGTTTCGAAGAGGGTTCAGCACGATCGACCATATCCACACGGTTACAAGACTCATTGAAGTTTCACGAGAGTACAAGATGCCGCTTTGTCTCACGTTCATCGACTTGAAGAAGGCCTTCGACTCTGTGGAGACAGAAGCGGTCATCGAAGCCTTGGGCAACCAGGGCGTCCCTACTCAGTACATCAAGATTCTTCGTGAGCTCTACAGCAACTTTACGACCAGAATCTCACCATTCTACAAGGAGGTCATCATCGACGTCAAGAGAGGGGTTCGACAGGGCGACACCATCTCGCCCAAACTCTTCAGCGCCGCTCTCGAGAACGTCATGCGTCAACTGGAATGGGAAGACATGGGAGTGAAGGTCGACGGCCGGCAACTACACCACCTTCGTTTTGCTGACGACATCGTTCTTATAACATCGAGCAAGCGGAGCGAATGCTGGCTGATTTCGACTGCGCCTGTGGTAAGGTTGGTCTACAGCTGAACCTAACGAAGACGATGTTTATGAGAAACGGATTGGTTCCTGATGCCCCATTCACGCTCAACGGAACGAACATCACCGAATGCTCCAGCTACGTGTACCTAGGTCGGGAAATCAATATGATGACCTAGCTCCAGAGCTGAGCAGGAGGAAACGAGCGGCATGGGGAGCGTTCAAGAACATCGAGGGAGTAGTGAAGAAGACGAAGAACATCCGGCTCCGTGCCCACCTCTTCGATTCCGCTGTCCTTCCTGCCCTAACCTACGCCTCAGAGACTTGGACTCTGCGCAGGCAGGACGAGCATGCGGTCAGCGTTATCCAACGCGCTGTCGAGAGGACGATGCTAGGAGTAACCCTATACACGCAAGTGCAGAGGGGAATCCGGAGTTCGAACTACGCCAACGATCGAAGATCAGGGACGCTGCCGTTTTCGCCAAGGAATCGAAGATAAGGTGGGCCGGACACGTCATGCGATTTTGCGATGACCGTTGGACCAGAGCGGTTACCGACTGGATCCCTCGGGACGTCAAACGAACACCTGGACGACCGCCGGCCCGATGGTCAGACTTCTTCACGAAAGCTCTGAACGAAAGGAATGAAGGA